TGGGACTATCCACCTTGCCAATGGAATTTTCCAATATGGAATGTAGAAAGTGGATCTATGTTCAGCTTCAAAAAGAGTGCCATAGACTGCCTATAACAGATTTAAAAGTAGTGAATCTATGAGCTCTCCTAGCCAATTGTTTAAAAAAAAAAAACGGTTGATGGTTTTGAAAACAATGTGGCCTAAAATTTGACTTGAATGTTCAGACAGATTATTGTTAAAATAAATAAGATAAGCAGTTTATTACTGACAATATCATCAAGCCTTGGAGAAATAGGTGTGTTATCTACTTATATTGATGATGACAAATCCCTTTTTTTAACTCATACAATTGTTTTAGAAATTATCTCTCAACACTTAACATACAAGATATCAAGCTTTTGGTGAACATATTAATATGAAAGTACACTAACTATGTAGCCACTAGCAAGACTCTTCTAAGGAGGAAAAGTATTAGAAAGACTAGAATCACTTGCATCTACAATCAATACAACATCAATATATATCTGAACTGCATAATCCTTTTAGTCAAACCTTAATAACTGGAGATTCTTTGGTGACAGAACCAAAGTCATAGTTGAACACACCAAGCCCAATAATATCAAGGGCCAAACTAGAAAACTCTGCTTCAAGATCTAATTCAATTGACTTCTTTGCATCATAACCCTCTCCTTCAAGAAGCTTATTAATCTTAGTTATCGTTCTTTCTGAACAAGCTGTGAATACTTTGACCATTGCTTCCAAGTATGAGGCATGGAAACCCGGAGCAATGACTGCAAATTTTATAAATATCAAGTTAAATAAAAAATATTTGGTTACATTCATAAAACTCTTGATGATATTAGCACAGGAAGAAAAACTATTTAAAAGTTCTTTGGATTCCTTAAACTTGTAAGATGCTTATGGCAGTCCACAAGAATTGGAATGATTAGCTTCATTTAATGGTTTGAATATGATATTTGACAGCATATTTGTCTAGGAGATTCAGGTATTAGCAGGTTGTCTACTTGAGGCTATTGGGAAGTGGTAACAGATAAACACTTTCAGAAATTATTATAACAGATATGTTCTAGTAGGCAATAATAACTTTAACCGTAGGTTGGGTTCTAATGTTAAAATACCTCTAGCAGGTCATAGAGTTGATAGTGTTGAACTTCCATAGGCCAAGTACCAGAATGCTTATGGATATTTGATTAGCTTTTGAGTAAACAGTATGGCACTTTCTTTTTTACATTATCTTTTCAATGAAAGAAGCATCTATAAAGAGAAAAATAAAAGTTAAAAGATAGAAGATCAAGAATCCTATAAATTAGAAAGAAAGCGAAAATACATCAGCTTAGAAAGCATCCCAATCCCTTTGCAGATTTGACACTAGAAAAATCCATGAGCAGAAACCCATAAGGAGCCTGTCTTTGCAAGCCCATCCCATAAAATATGTGGAGCAAGGTAATTATTGCCAAGTTTCAGAGAGTTACTCTCAAGGCAAATACACCAAACTCAAGAATAAAGGAAATAGTGCTGAAGCGCTGCTGAAGCCCACTTTAGTACTTTCTACCTCTGAAAACTCTATGAGTGGAGGAAAAGACTTCTAAATTGAACAAAGGATTAAATGCAGAGTCAAGGAGAAAGAAAGGGGAAAAAATGACAGAAAATAATAAATACAATTTGCACACCTCTTCTCCTTTCCTTCCAAGTATCAAGGTCTGCAGGTATGAGTCCTTTGCCCATGATTGGTTCTAGGATATCAGCAAGTACTCCCTAGTTTTTTAATTAATATGCAGAAGCAGAAATTAGAGAAATTTTGAAAATTATTTAAAATACCAAAACTAATTCATTAAAATAGGCACCTCAATTTGCCAGATATTGACATTATCCAGCTCACATGATTTACATTTGGCTACATTTTAAAGGATAGCCACTGGTCACAAACTTCATGTTTTGCAAAGGTTTACACTCACTTTGGCAGTATTTACTACAGACAATAAAAAACACAAAATCAAAAACCTTAGTTTATTCCTCTTAAGAATTTTTTTGGCCAACTTTTTCCTCTAAACAATTTTTGCATGCCAATGCTTCTTCTAATTTTAATCTATTTTCCAACTTAAGGACAGATTGCTAATTAACAACATTGGTTTTGGAATAGGGTTTCTTCTTCCTCCATACTTCATCTGCACTTTTCACTGTTAAATCAACATCCAAAACTCCAAAATCATCAGTGGAAACCTCCATAATTACCTGCTAAATGCCTCTGTCCTCCAGCTGCTTTATTTCTACTTTGTTCTCCATTTTAGATGGCCAACAACCACAATACAGTCATCAACATTGATCAAACCTCAAACCTTCATTTCTATTATCATTAACTATGTTAATCATGACTCATTTTCACATCAAGCACCACAGCATCCTCTAAATCAACAAAAATTAGAAAAGGGAACAAAGTTGGAGGAAAACATCCATAAAAAAAATGATTTTCATATTCTTAGTTTAATTTAGGTTTTTATTTGGTCCTGTAACTTTTTTTATTCAACTTAGTCCTCCAAGTTATTTTTCATGCCAACATCTTCTTCTAACTTTTTTTTAATCCAATTTAGTCTTTAAATTCTTGGCAGCATAAAAATGTAAGAGTAAAAGTATACTCTTCACAAATCAAACCCAAATATCATAACAATATTTTAGTCTTTTACATTTTATTGTTCACTGTTCTGGTTCGTACTTGATATGACTAAAAATCAACAGACCATCGATTCACTTAACATAAAGTCCGTACTTTTCCATTAGAAGGATACAATAAATATACAACCTCTCAGACGATGGATTGAACAGAGTACAATAAAAATCAAGCAAGAGGTAAGAGTATACCTTGTCATAAGAAAATGCATTTTCTCGCAGAATATGTCTTGCAACTATGGGATCTGATACAACCACAAATGCTTTTGGCCCAAACGCAAGTTTATACACTGAGCCATGCTGTGCCACATTCAATAATTAAAATTAGGAATGACAGAGTGAAGTCAAATTTATAAAGTAAAATAAGATGGAAAGAGAAAATTGATAATATTGGCAACGTGAGCAAACTAAGCATTCTCATAAAAGTATACATGCTTTAAGTTAAAAGCCCCAACATCAAAAAGTAAAAAACTAAAAAGGGAGTATGAAACTTGTAATCTTATGGAAATTACGACACAATTCATTGTTATGATTTGCGTGAGTACCTCCAAGAACCAATCATATAGTGAGAAAAAGAGAGGTCGACCAAACAGATCTGAGACTGCGCCTTCAGCAATGGGCATAGACCCTAAACTTCCACCACTTAACAAGTTCGTAAGGAGGTTGCTTGCATTGTCCAGGAGATTTCTACTTGATTTCTTCTTCTCGGTACTAATTGACTGGCACCTACGTCATTCAAACTCACACGATCAACTCAACACAAATATGGCTTAAACATAGATCAAAATTTGCTCCTTCCAAGCTCTGAACACAAATTAATATTACAGTAGCATGCGAACGAAACTAGTATACCTGAACGAAACTAGTCTATGATTTAATTTTGGTAGAAGCAGAGGAAAAAGCATGCATGAGAAATTAGGCAACAATTGGATAGGAATTTTACCTGATTGAAGAAAATGGTTTGGACTGAGAACGAACAGAAAGCGGGAAATGAAAGGTGGGAGAGTTGAGAGCGAAAGACAAAAACGGAATGTGAAGATTGGCATCAGTAACGATTGAGAGGTTAGAGGCAGCGACAGTCATAGCGGTGCGAGTGAGAGTGAGAGTGAGAGTTGGTTGCACCGAGTTCGGTCTGAAAATAATATGATATAGCAATTGGTATCGTTGTGCGCTACATGTAAGAGTGGTGGTGATAGTGGCCCTGCTAAGTGCGAAAAATTTGGATGAGGGGCGGTGAACCATGATGTCTAATTCTTTTTAATTCCCCCCCCCCCCATATTTTACTTTATTTTTTTAAAATTAGAATTAGGTTTCACTAGCAGAAATGTCACTTTTAATTTAGTTAAAATTTATTAAAAATCATATTAGTTTAATTTTTAATTTAATTTAATAATTTTTTCTCATATTTTTACAATTTTTAATAATTTTTAAATAATAATTAAAAACATATTTAAAAGTGTATTTTTAAAAAATGCGTTTCTAATCTTTCTTTCTCTGTAATTACATAAATAAAATCATTAAAATAAGACTGTCTTAAAAAACTATTTTCTCATTTATTTTTATATTAACATAATTAGAGTTATTATTAAGAAAAAAAAAAGGTATAGTATTATTCTTCAATTAGCATTGAAGTTTTATTTTGATAATCTATATAATAAATATGAGTTTTAGAAGCTAAGGTACCAATATTAAAAATTAACACATGTTACTAAAATACATATTCTGGTTAAAACACAAAATATCGAAGTTTTTTCTTTATAATAAATTTTCTTTCACGCAAACTAATGAAACAAAGTTCACTCAAATATAACTTTTACTTCCATTGCATTTAGTTATATATTATTTTAATGTATTATTTTAATATATAAATCTCACTCCCATTCAAATAAAATGCTCATGCCAAATAATTAAAATAGTCATAAACTATAAAGTACACAAAGCAGCAACGTGTCAAAGAGGACTTTATGGTGCTTAAAGTGGTCAGACCAAATGAGGCTCGACAAAATATGTTGGCAGGACCAACAAATTCAAAAGCCAACAATTTACATGCTAGTCTATGATGGTTTAGATTGGTCTACAATTACGAAAATGTCAAAATCAACTGTTGAATTTTTTAAATTTAATATTTTTAAAAAAATTTGAAAAATATTTAATGATATTTTACAAATAAATCTATTTAAATTAGTATTTTTAATCTTAGTCATAGATCACAATTTACAATTTGTAGAAAAATTACACTTAATTGCATTTAATAAAATTAAAATATCTATCTACAAACTGTTGTTATTATTTTATGGATCAAGTATAGTGGAAAATTACCGGTAATAGGAAGTTTTGATGTTGCCGTGGAAGATAGAGAGTAATTGGTGGGTGGGAGTGGGAGTGGCCGTTAGGCCAAAGTTGCAATATTCCAGTTCCCTCCTATTTCAGTGCCTATTTAAACGCCTAATTCTCCACTCTTTCTTTTCGCCACGCAAATTAAATTTCTCTAATTTTTCTTTCTCTGTTTTTCCATGACTATTGATCTAGTGAACGAACAATCCCGATGAAGCTGAAACATGAAGAACCACCCATCAAATATCAATTCCAAATGTCGAAGGAACAATCCAATACAAGCTTTTTTGGCCTCTCCTTCTCCTTCATGCTCTCGCTGTGGTGCCTCCTCTTCTTCTACGTTAAGCTTCGCCTCGTTCATGGCACTGGAGGTCCGTTTTTTCATTGATGGGTTTGTAACGATCATATTTTCATATATATAGGACCCACATGGTCAAGCACAAACCTTTTGAAATATGAAATAGTAATAATAATAATAATATTACCGATTATTCTTCACATTATCATGTTTTGTATTGAAATTTCTGAATGTTTTTTTTTTCTTTTTGCAATTATCAGAAAAAGCAACAACCATGCATGTATGATATTCCTATGTTGCTAATCCTTGCATGTTTTCACAAATGCAGCTATGTTTGAGTTTAATGAATCAGATAATTCCAACAGTCATAGTCAGAAACTTTCAATACCCTCATACTCACTTCCTGAAACAAGTAGTTTGGCAGAAGTGTTTCGGCAAGTTTTAGGTAATAGTAATAATTTGGTGTGCAAACTACAACCTCCACAAGAGGGAAAGAAACTTGAACGATCGCAACTTCCTCATGGGAAACTTCACCCCAATAATGATGAATTTCCAAACATGACAAAACATGAAATAACCGAGGGCATGAACTCTGCGCTTGTCAATGTCAACATCACTCACCGGCTTGAACCTGATGGTTCAGTGTACAACTATGCCTCTGAGTCCAAAGGTGCAAAGGTTGTGGCTCAGAATAAAGAGGCCAAAGGGGCAAAAAATATACTCGGGAAGGATCATGATAAGTACCTGAGAAACCCTTGTTCTGTTGGCGGAAAGTTTGTTGTTATTGAGCTTTCAGAAGAGACTCTGGTTGATTCTGTGAAAATTGCTAACTTTGAACATTATTCTTCTAACTTCAAGGAATTTGAATTAGCTGGTAGTTTAAGCTACCCAACTGAAACATGGAGCATGCTGGGAAACTTTATTGCTGCCAATGTCAAGCATGCACAGATCTTTAAGCTGCCTGAACCCAAGTGGGTCAGGTATTTAAAATTGAGCTTGCTTAGTCATTATGGATCTGAGTTTTATTGCACACTGAGTGTTGTAGAAGTTTATGGGATCAATGCTATAGAGCGGATGCTCAAGGATCTTATAGTTGCTTCTGTGGGATCCGTTTCTGAGATGTTGCCAACGCATAATGTCAGCGACGTCCCTCCTTTGAAGTCAGAAGCTGGCCAAATTGACAGAAACGGAAAAGAAGATGATGGCAAGAACAATAATGTGGCTGCTGAGATACCAAGCAATGATGACACTCAAAAGTTAGATGCAGAAGTGGCAAAAAATCCTGCGATTGTGAACTTGATTCCCGATCCTGTAATAGAACTTAGACAACAGCTGAATGGTAGGATAGCTGGTGACACTGTTCTGAAGATTTTGATGCAGAAAGTGAGGTCAGTTGAGGTAAACTTATCTGCCTTGGAGGATTACATCAAAGAATTGAACAGGAGACAAGGGGTTAAAATACCGGATCTTGAGAAAGAGTTGTCCAGATTATCAGAAAGCCTTGGACAAAGCAAGTCAGAGATCAAAGATCTCTGGCAGTGGAACACAAATATGGTAGGTTACATGTGGCTTTCCTTTTCCTCCTTGTCTTATCATTATGATTATCTTTCAATTTCTCCCATGCATTCTCATTTTCCTGGTCTTTTTCCTTTTCTAGGAAAAAGAGATGTCTGAGGTTGAGTCCTGGAAGGATGCTGTCTCATCTCAACTTAATGAATTAGCCAAAGAAAACAGCATGCTAAGGTTAGGATAAATCATTTTGATACCTTTGTTCAAAACTATCTGTCTCGTTATTGGTTTTTCAAATTCATACATTCGTCTTATAACAAATTTGAAATATACTCATGTTAGTCATTTCTGTCTCTGCTTGCTCATTTTGTTGACACTAACTTAGCAGGGCTTAACAACCCTTCTTAACAGCTTTTTGTACTAAAAGATTACTTTTTCCTTACCATTGCTTCACTGACATTTCTTTCTTTTTCTTATATATTTTTCCCTGTTCTGATGGTTGACATGTCATTCGTACACTTTCATTTCAGATCAGATGTTGCAAAGGTTGCAAGTAATCAAGCTAATCTGGAAACCAAAGAGCTTACTGTGTTAGCAACCAGTCTGGTTTTTGTATGCCTCGCAGTTGTCAAGATAATTTCAGTACACATGACGTTTTCTGCATCATACAATGCCGATAAGGTGCGCCAGACAATTAGAGGATGGGTTACATTATTCGCATGCTGTAGTGTAACAATATTCATTATCTTGTTCTTTAGCTAGGCACTCACTTGTGTTGTACAATGTTGGTTCTTTGTATAAAGCATAAACTTGTTCTATAGCTACTGTTTAAATTTGTGGCGTAGTCAAAACATTTCTTGTTACTATATTGCAAGATACACTAAAGAAGGGATTCCAGATAATGGCTTCACTTCCATAGTTTGCAATTATGCAGGAAAATGCTGGTGCTGAACTCCTTTTTCAGTGCCTATTAGGTAATTGCTTGTTGGTAGGGTGATAACAATTTTGTGCACGGGGGGAAGTCTTTTGGTGAATCTGTTTTATGGAAAAGAAATTCTCTGGGGTCTGCATTAATATTTGCCCAAATAAAAGAGATAACCATTGTACAACGTATATGTATATACATAGTTCTTTTCAGCAACAGGCGGAGGAAAATTACCAACCTATAAGTAGAGCCATGGGGTACCAAATACTTATGTGCAAAATGTTGAGCAAACTAACATCACAATATCATTTTTTCATTTGAGTTACCATGTCCTCCAAGTTCATAGGATAGCACATTTTAGTGTGCTGGCCATTCCATATATTGTCTGCCAGAATGGCATTCACTGCATCAGTTGGATGAAACTGGTCCCACCAGATATGGTTGGAAGCATTCCCGCATGCCATTTCTGGTGTTAAGCACATGATCCAGCCCTTATACTTCCCCAATCCGCAGCAGGCCTCAGTTGTGACATTAAAGCCTAATTAGGAAACGTAAAGCGAGTAAGATTTGATGTTGAATGCTACAGAAATTAACTAATAGACAGAAGTATAAAAACAAATATTAGTACCATAACGCACGTGATTCTTCAAAATATCCATGGAACCTTCAAGGATGTCACAGAAGATGATATTGGCATCAGAGAGCTCTGCAGTAAGATTTTGAATCATGTACCTGGTGAGAAAGTTAAACTCAATGGCCATGTCATTTATCCGTTCAACACATTCTCCATTTTCACTACCGTACTGCCACAAGTAGTGAGGAGCACAGCCGATAGGAGCAAGTCCTGTGATCACCACTTTCCTAACATTTAAATTGTACAAGTTCTGTTCAATCAACTATAATATGTCAGGAGTCAATTTTGCTCTTTCAGTTGCTGTATGCAAATTAACAACGATTTTGCTGACAGTGTGTCCAAAAGACACAAAGATAATGAATCAATAAATAGTAAAATTTTATTGAAGATTATAGCATTCAATATTATCAATGCATTCAAATTCAATGATATCGTTAGATTTCCAATAATCATTGAGCATAGGTTAGAAAAATAAAATTAAGAATCAAGAAAATTATATTAAAAAATCGAATGAGAAATGTAATTGTGGTATTTTGACCTTGATCTCTTGCCTAAGAGAAGATGCTAAAAATTGGTTGAAGCGCCAAGGTGGGTACAAATTATCGACGTTGGAAAAATTGAGCAAATAGTAATGAATGTAGTCGTTGATTCCAATAGAAACATAAAAGACAGAATTAGAAACGAGAGTGGTGGCAACATCCTCTCCAACACTCAATATAATCTGCTGAAGGGTGTCAGTAAATTGCTGAATTTGCTGAGTGAAAGAGATATGCTGACCCAATTCAGAGCCACTGGAGAGAATAATGCCAGCGCCAGCAGAAGCGTAATTAACCCCATGCATCATATCCTCCACAGCCCCTTTCTGCCCAAGATAACTTGGCACAAAAGGAAGCCCAAGACGCAGAGCTTATGCAAATAATAATTAAATCAATTATTAATCGAGTTGAAGAAAAATCAAGAATTGAAGATGAACAAGTGTACCAAGATAATCGACGGGGATTCTTCCGTTGGAGAACCTTCCGGTGGGTTGGTGGGTGTCGAAGTCTCTTCCGTAAGGAAGGTGGTCGGCACGTGCGAAGGTGCCGAGGTAATTGTTGGTTCCAGAATCCACGGAGGAGTCTCCGATGACGAACAACGCCGGCACTACAGAAGATGACGAAGAAGGTGCAGTTGAGGGACTGTCACTGTAGAGTTTTGCATCTTTAGGAGGTTCTTGGAATTCTGAAACTGTGGTAGACAGTAGTAGAAGACTTGTTATTAGGTACACAATAATGCTCCCATTCACTCCCATTATCTTTCTCTCGTGTTCTTCCGCATTCACATTGTCCCATTCAGAGATTCAAAGAACTCAACTAACCCTCCCCTTCTTTTGGCGGGTAACATCTCTCAAATGCCTTTTTATCCAATAATCATTTTGGGCCCAAAAACTTCTTCGGCCCGTCTGCATTATGCTTTTTCTTTCTTTCTTTTTACCCAATAATCTAGCTGCTTTCTGTTCTTTCTTCTAATCCTCTTTTTTGTCTCAATTTCTAACACAGTCTTCCAACTCAACCCTCCTGTTGCTTTAAGACTGTATTTTAGTTTATGCAATTTTAATTATTTTGCTGACACAAAAATGTTGCCTCTTAAATAAAAAGCGGTAAAAATAAATTAGTGATAAGAAATAAACGAATATTAAAAATATTTTTATAAAAAAATAAAAATCATTCAATATTTTAAAGATTTATTTCTGATACACTATTGAAGTAAACATTTTTATGCTGTAATCTAATTAAACATATTTTTAAAAGTAATTGTTATAAAAATAACTATTTTTTAACTATGTATCTATTATTAAATCACAATGTAAAAAGTTACATTTTAATTAAATTTACATTTTTATTTTAAATTAATTGAAAGTATTTAACTACTAAACCTTTCCTTTAGCCATTGACATATTAAGATAAAATATTTTAATTTTTGAAATTTTAGTTTTTTGAATTACATATTGTTAATACACAGTAATATAATACTTACATATAATTAATTACATAGTAAAAATAATATTATATATTAGATATATATATTTTTATTTTATTTTAGTCTCTACAATTGTGATTCGTCATATATTTTAGTCATTAATTTTGAAAACTTTTCATCTACTCATTGTCATAATTCTTTTTTATTCTTTCTCGTCAAAAACTATTATCATCAACAATTATTTTGTATTGCTTTCATCGACATTTCTCCAACCTTGTCACTCTTTCTCCATTTAATAATATTTTCTTGCTTTAAACTCTCTTTCTCTTCTCTTGACCTTGTTCTCCACTCTCAGCTTCTTTCCTTATCACTTTTTCTCTATTCCCACTCACTACCACCACCAACTCATGGCCACTACTAACCACGTAGTTTCAGTCACCAACAAAGAATGTCTCAAAAACTCCGTTGTTAATACCATACCTTACATGATTGTCTTGAGTTCATGCCTTCTCCTAATGCCATTGTAATCTAATTAGAAATATTTTAAACATATTTTAAAAAGTAATTAAAAGAATTTAAAAACCAAATTCTTACATTAGTCATTGAGATAATAAGGTTAAATATTTTAATACTTGAAATTTTAGTCTTTCAAGACACATGCCGTTAATACAAAGTAATAAAATACTGAAATGTATACTTGATTACATAGTAAAAATAATGTCATACATGGTATGATCTATGTTTTTATTTTATTTTTGTTCCTATAATTGTCACTCATTAGGCATTTTAATCACTAGTTCTAAAATACTTTTATCTAATTATTGTTCTTCTTCTTCTTCATTCTCCGTCGCAACAAATTACCATCATCAGCCATTATTTGTATACTTTGTCATCGTTATTTGGCATTTCTCCAACCTATCGCCCTCTCTCCATCCAATCATTTCATGCCTTCCCTTAATTTGTCCTCATTTTATTATTGCAATTTTATTTTATTGTTATTTTATTTTATTTTTTAAAATAAAAATTTGGTGCAGGAGACATCACTCAAGCAAGACTAGTTATTTTGAACCATGTATTTTAGGACATTCTCGCTCAAGTGAGATGAGTCTCGCTCAAGCAAGAATAAATAGAATTACCCCAACTATCATCTAGCCCATGTGAGATGTAACACCTTAAATTTAATTTCAATTTAATAATAATTTCACAAATTAGAATAACCAATTTTCATAAAATACTTCGAAATAAGGAAAGGGTTACAAATTAATATCAAATGACTGCTATAAGACTAGTTCAGTTACAACAATTTCAAAATAAAATCTAAGTCCTATAGCAGTCCATCCATCCCTTTACTGAGTCTGGTGCTGATCGTCTTGGTTACCTGAAAAATGAATGTAAGGGTGAGTACCCTACACTACCCAAAAACACACAATTAACGTAGAGTCTCACCTTCAGAACATTTCCAACATATTAAACAAACACAATCACAAACAACATTTCACATCCATAAGTACAATTCATAAACCTATGCATATGCACACCAGTCACACTCACTGTGGCACTGTGATCACAAATTTACACCATGAATGGTCGTCAATTACCTCTGCCCACAGATACCACGTGGGTAGTCACGGGTCACTCAACAAAGGTAATGGTTAGAGGTCTAGTCAGGAAGAGAATGTGTGGCCTGTGGTATACCCGTTTCATAGTCGGTGTCATCACCACTTCCTCTTCCCCAAGGTATTTCTACTGTCTTTATCTCCCACACCCCTAGTGTATCACTGAACCATTTATAGCACATTACAACGGCGCTACACGCCCCATTCACATACATTTTATTCACACATGCATATTCATGCTTGCACATGGCACACAACCTATATTCAATTCACATTACACGGCACATAGCCCACATTTTATCCATAATATAAGGCACATAGCCTTTATTTATTCACACTATCATTAATTCACCAATCAATGACATTTTATCACACACAAACACTCTCACGAGGCCTAACCATTTCAGTACACATCACATTGCATATCAATTTCTATCAAACACATAATTCTTACTCTCTATTTCAGCCACATTGTATTATTCATTGAAATACACAAGAATTACAATACATTGAGGTAGGGTAGAGTTCCCCGTTACCTCGGATTGACGTCCCACACGCTAAATTCACCAAGAAGTGTTCCCCTTCACAGATTTCGTCCTAAACACATGGAGAAATTCCATGAGAACCCAAGGAAACTCAGAAACAGAGAAAAGAGGATGAGAAACAAAATCTTAACCATTAAAACTCACCTCCAAGCGTTTTCCACATAGATTTAACCTTCAATCAAGCTCCCAAACGGCTTTGGAGGCAATTAATCGGTGGAATAGGGCTTTGGGTATGAGAGTATCCAAGGAATTTCGAAGGGAGAGGAAAAAATAACCCTCCCCAAACCCTAACTCCCTTTAAATCTTTTTCTGGTCGCGACACTCTCGCTACAGAACTTCGCTGCAGTGACACACCCTCACGCTGCAGCGAAAATCTCAGACGAAATTGTACTCTAATTTCTGCAGAATTTCACTACAGCGAGACCCTTTCGTTACAACGAGACTACACTAAAAAATGCACTCCAAACTGTCACTCTTTCGCTACAGCGAGACGTCTCTCGCTACAGCGAAAAGGTGACAGTTTCAGTCCTTCCTCTTAGGGCCCTCTCGCTACAGCGAGAATCCTCTCGCTGCAGTGAGAACAACCCTGTATCACGCTTGCACTTAGGCACTTAGCCTATTTCAGCCCAACCAATCATGCATACACACACATATATATATACACACATCCACAACATACATATATGTACATACATTCATACTCATTTCACACAAAACACCATCATCACGCATCTAATGCAAATTTTCAACATCTATTTACGCTTATACTCACATATATATGCCTTTAGATTTTATATAAATAACAATAATTAATATTATTAAATTCGGGGCATTACATGAGAGAGGGCACAGGAAAATGAGGAGCTCTCTTGATGTGTTCCTTAATGGCAAATTGGGAATAATTGAACCTTTAGGGTTTGGACCTTGGGAAAATTTAAAATTCTGGAAGAATTGGAGAAGAATTATTCATGGTAATTGAGTCTTTAATTGATTGGGATTAATTTGAAAAGAAAAAAAAAATGCAAAATTCAGTTATCAAAAGGAAAAATTTGAGTTTCCTTATTAGGGTGAACGAAAATGGAAAGAAAATGATGTGGTAATGATAATTAAGGAAATGAAATGCATAATTTGTAAAAATTAGAAAGTTTAGGTTTCCTTTCCAGTTGAAATTCAAATTTGGAAAAAAAAGGGAATTAGAGTTCAATCATGTGGTAATTGGGGAAATTGGGAATGGAATGAAAGAATCACTCTTTCACTAGGTTAGGCATGCACACAAAGGGGATGAATATCCTTTGATAAACCTAGGTTCTTGAATCACTCAAAAAATCTAGAAAATCACTCTTTAAGTTTGCAAAGGCTGAATTTTTATTCAAATTGATCATCCATACAACTTTGTGCCAACCACTCTTAAGCAATGAGTTAGTGGCTGAAATTATTACAACAATAATGTTCATTCAAAGTCCCATTAAGCTCCACTCATCAAGCTTCACTTAATGACCATTTTGTAACTAAACTAGGCAACTAAAAGCACCACTCTCTCTCTCAATAATTCAACCAATGAACGGATGGTCCACCTAGGCATTATTCAACTCATAATTAATTAAAATAATAACCCTCAATGGCTATTTTTGGCACTCCTAGTTGTTGGACATTTTCTAAACACTAGCAAGTGCACTAGGAATTGCAGCAAGTAATAAGTAAATTTTAGATCCAAGTATCGTCTCCATAGGGAATTTGATTCAATTACCACTTCACAATTAAATCACTCGTTGAGCCAAATCGAGATTCAAGTTTTGAGCATGAAAGATAAAAGTAAAGAATTAAGCAATTAACAATTCATAGAAAAACAGAGTAAAATTTGGAAAGTATATAGTGTAAAGTAGGAATGATTTCACTTCCTTGAATAGCAATCTGTTAGGTTCAAACTCAATTTCATTGAATAATTGAAGATCAATTTCACTAAGTTAGTCAAATCCCAATCCCTTGGTAATATGACCTTAATGTTCATTTAAATTCCCTAATTCCTTAGGTGAAGTTCAAATTCTCATTACATTAGGTTCAAGAAATTATCAGACCACAAGATTAATCATGCTTATCCCTAAGTCAATCACAATCTTGACATTCAACTCAGATAAGAGAAGTAACATAATTTCCATTAATGAATTTCCTCTAAGTTTAATTCAATGAGTGATCAATTCAAAGAAAACATTAAGAAAGGAGTTAAATGTTCAATTAATCCAACAAAATATAGAGTTTAAACCCTAACTAATTACAATCAATTCAGATCTATCACTCCTACAAGGAGATT